TAACTTGATAATTGTAAACATATTTGAAAACACTTTTGAGTGGATTAAAGGACTTAATAAAGGTATAAAATATTTTTGTTAAGATCATACCCCCTCCCCTAGATTTCTTCGAATACAGGGACAAAGAAGGCCGCGGGAGTTTCTGGCGGAAGGAGAGCAAGGAGGTAACGATAGCTCACCAAAGAAATCAACGAGGAAGAAAAAAATCCGACATGGCCAGGGTTTTTGTCGATTTCACTCGGTTGGAGAAGGAAATCGAAGAGGGAAAAAAATCCGAGCTGACGGCGATTTCAACAGAGTTTTCCCTCTTGTACCCGAGTGAACCAAAGCGGCACAAAGAAATAGGCGGAAACAAAAAAAATTGACTTGGAGGGGGGTGTCAGGCGTAGAAAAGTGTTTCCACGGGTATTTTAAGCGAACCAAATAGCCCCTTAGTAGTTTCAACCCAAAGGATATATAAGGTACCTATCGGAGATTAGATTAAGTAGCTATGTGCACAAAATACGTAGTGGAAAATAATGAAACAAAAGCGAATACTAAGAAATGCCAAGATTTATATGGTTCGGCACGACGACATACGTCCAAAACAAAGTTACCAACTCTTTGAATGTTAGAGTTTTACTTACAACTAAAAGTTTTATCTTGTCTTATACTATTATAAAAGCGTGTATGATGTTAACATATTTTCTTCCCAAAATACCCTCCAACTTATATTAAAACACATATATGCTTGCATAAAACACACGAACATATACATAAAATACATATATGCATACATAAACCATATAATTCATTATATTTATTACATCATCATTAATGCAACAAGCATGAGCAATAATACTAATAATTAATTATATTATTATTAAATTTTATCATATTACTTTTTTACTAAATGTCATAATTGTTTACTTTAGGTATTACGTAAGAAAATAGTTTCAATCCTGCATATCTAAGGGCCTGTTTGTTTGCACGGAAGTAATTGTGAAGTAGTTGAAGTAAAAGAAGTAAAAACTACTTCTGCTATTTCCAAGCAAAAAAGTATGTTTAGTTCTCTGAAAAACTTACTTCCAATACTTCCCTAAATGCTTATGTGGCGCCTACGTGTCATCCTTACTTCCAAAATATTTTTCCAATCCTCAATATTCAGAAGTAGCTCGGAAGTAGTTGAAATGCATATTAATTATTTCCAAAATATTTTTCCAATCCTCAATATTCAGAAGTAGCTCGGAAGTAGTTGAAATGCATATTAATTAGGGCATAAATAATTTTTTATTAATATTTTCTTTATTAGTTACTTCTAACAATTTTTCATTGATAAAATTACTTCCTAGTAATATTTTTAAATGTTATCCAAACAAAAAAAATAAATGAAGAGGAAGAAGTTCTACTTCTATTACTTCTAAAAATATATGAAACAAACAAAAAAAAAAGCTACTTCCACTACTTCCTACTTCATAGCTTTGAAAGTTACTTCTATAACCTACTTTTTACTTTTAATACTTCCATTATCCAAACGGGCCCTAAGCTAATCATATCTACTTTAGATATGCAACAGTAAGTGTTATGTTTGGGTTCCTTCTAACTTATGTTAACACACGTACATGCTTTGCATAAAATCATGTACACATCTATTACCCCTTTAAAAGAGGGAGTTTATGAAAAACTTTACCCATCCCAAAATAGCCTTCCACCAACTTTAATTACCAAACATATCCTGAATTCATAAACCAATTTACCCTTTCATCGGTTACGCCTATATCCCTCTTCCTTTCAATTCATCAATTACGAACCCTCCGATCTTCCTTTACCTACACCAACTCTTAAAAATGAAATCAATTCACCAGTTCATCCGTTAATCCTTCTTCTCCGTCCATCTTCTCACTTCTTACGTTACGCCGTACTACGATCTTAAGCCTTCAAATTCCAAAGATGATTGTCATTGCCCTAATCATCAACGCTGCGCCTCCGCCATCAACCCCTCAGTTGTCAGAATTTTTGCATCGGTTAGAATGATTTTACTTTTTTGCTCTTTATTTAATTTTGTTCTAATTAGCCATCATCTCATTTTGTTCTAATTCAACAATAGGTCAAGGAATATCCGAATTAGGGCTTGCTTCAAGTCTTCATCTTGCTCCTTTGTTGGTTTCATCAGGTAAAAATTCATTTGTTATATTTTGTGAAATTATGGTTTCTGTCCTTTTAGTTAATTTTGATGAATTGGTTTTTTTATAGCTGATTTGAGGAAATTATGGGTGGAGGACTTTGTTAGATAGTATTTGCAGACACAAGAGGGGAAACTTGAGTGAGTTAGGGAGGGCTAGATTTGTTTCTAACTGTATGAGTTTTTGCATTCATTAGATCATGTTCTCACATCTAAATTCCACGACATAATTTACAAGTACAAGCATATTTCGTGTGTGGGTGTATTTCTGTTTGCATATTCATGTTATTTTGCTTGTGCAATAAAGAGATAATGTTGATAGACTGAACAAAAACACACAATTTTCAGACTACATGTAAAGTAATATGGGACATAAGCCTGTATAAGCCTGATAATTGTCTCGGTGCAGCCTCATAATCAGGTATGCAGGCGCATAACCTGCATAAGCTTGATTGTGCACGCAATATAGGACAACATCTATTTTCTTTCCATTAGTTTCCCCTCATTTTTTTTCATTCCTGACTGATTTGACATTGAGCCCTGCCTTACGTTGGACCTGCTTTCTGTGACTAGGATGATTTAACATTGATTCAGTGCATTGTATTCCCTACATGCAGTAGTACAAATGAAACTCCACTTTTACTAGCATTACTTTGTATTTCGTATTGATTTTTGTGTTTAAATAACGGAGAGTAATCCTGTATAACTTTTATTTTGATTTTAGATTCAATATATGCATGATTACATGGTTTAACTTGAAATAACCATAATTCACTTCTTTGTTCTTTTTCGCATGATAAAGGGTTAGATTGCTGTTGTAAATTTTTTCTTTTTTCTTTTTCTTTTTTCTTTTTTCTTTTTTCTTTCATGTTTTCTTTGCCTCTCTCAATCAATCAAAAGTATGTTTAGAATCTTTTTCTTTTTTCTTTTTTCTTTCATGTTTTCTTTGCCTCTCTCAATCAATCAAAAGTATGTTTAGAATCAATTGCATGCCAGAAGACGTTACACTTTGCCTCTCTCAATCAATCAAAAGTATGTTTAGAATCAATTGCATGCCAGAAGACGTTACACTGTTCAATGTGTAACCTTCACCCGAAAATTGTGTTTCGAATATAACCATCAATATTTTGACTTGATATTGATTTGCTATGGCAGTGGAAATTTCTTCTTGAGTAGTTTTGATAGAAAAGTATATATTTGTTTTATACAAATCACATAACCAATGTAGTTCTTCAGGTGTATGCTCATAATTATACATTGCTATTTGCTTCATATAAAACGGAAGGTTAGGATTCAGGAAACATTCCCTCTACTGTCACACAACACAACAAGACACAAAATTTACTTATTTCTATTGCGATACATAACTGCATGCAGCTATTCTTGGATCTTAACACAAATAACGTACCGTGAATTCTTATATTATAGGCTTGCATCCATTTGACTTCTACCCTTCTTATTTCTCTGTAGTAATTTTACCTTGAAGTTTCCATAATAATAATAATAATAATAATAATAATAAATCTTATTCTGAAGCAAATATTATATGCACACCCATGTGTGCGTGTATCCTTGTGGTCCTCTTATCTATTTCACCATGCTTTGAGGTTCATCGCATCCATCTCTAATGCTTGAACATAACATTGGGTAGGCTTCGTTTCCCTAGGTTCTCTCTTCAATGTAACACTACAATTCTTATTTCATAATTTAGTGCTATCATGATTGAGCTCATCCTAATCAAGACATTCTTACTCTGTACTAGGTCCTTTTTGTGGGTCCTGTATTAGTTCTGCGTCGAAAGTTCTTATTTGTTTTGAGGGAAAATTTATTAGTAATAGTTAACTTTGCTGTCACATTAGCAAAATCCTCACTCGGAATTTCCCTATATCCAACTTTTACTCCGAGCAAAAAAAAAATGGAAAATTTGAAAGCTGCAGATTTTGAATTTTTGATTTTGTCATGGTTCTAACACCTGTTTTTTTTACATCCAAACACTGTCAAAAGATATTTTTGAAGTTATATTTAATGCTTATTGTAGGTCCAATGCAAACCCTATAATCATTTATTAATTCAATTACTTACCTGATACTAAGTAACTAAAATATGTTGATCCCTGGTTCATCAATACTCATGTAATACTAAAAAGAGATAGGACAATGAAAAGTGTGGTTGTTTAAATGAGTTACAATGAACAAAAATCGTAAGAATATAATATTTCTAAGATTTGAATTTAGTAATATAATCTTCTATGACTATATATGAGTATAAATTTTATCAGAACATCTTCACATGAGAAACATAGGAGACAACTTAGAGATTTCAACTGTATCCTCTATGGCTCAAAATCCCCCGCTCACATGCGAGATTTTCTGATAAATTTGTATTCTCTAAATATTAATAGACAATTATAATTGAAGAAGGGGATTTGTGATGTCAATTATGTGGCATGTGTTAGGAACAAGCGTCAAGATTCTACAATAATAGAGCTCATATGGAGACAGACCTACAAGAAATGGTTTCTTCCTCTAAAACCACTGCTTAGTGTTAGCATAAAGTTGGACCTACATAGATATCCTTCTAGATTTTAGATGTCATAGTTTAACCAACTTAGTACCATAATAATCATTTGTCTTACCTGTGTCAGGAATCTAGAGGAATAGTTTTATATATTATTGTGTAACTGACTGCATATGCTTGAGGTTTGCTGGAGAGTTGTTTGTATTGACCAAGCAAAATATGCAATAATGGCTCTCTAAAATCTTTTATGTGAATTAGATTATTGATTTCAGATGCTAATGCAGCAAGGAGGAAAAAAATCACTGACCAGAGTTCATCAGTAATGAGGAAAAGCTGCACCATGTGGAAGAATGGTGATTTGTTAAAATTACAAAATTTTAGCCATGGGGAGTCAATTTGAAAGCATACATAATGAGTATATTATTGTTTCACTCTTTTAAAAAGCATACATAATGAGTATATTATTGTTTCACTCTTTTAACTCATTAAGAACATTTTGTGATGAAAGTTATAACTTTGATTTATCAAATTCCCCGGTTTCACTCTTTTAACTCATTAAGAACATTTTGTGATGAAAGTTATAACTTTGATTTATCAAATTCCCCATCCATATTAATTTCATCCTCTGCAAGACTAAGAAATAGCATGAGTCAGATTTCCAAAAACTCCTTGAAGTTTACAAGAAAGGCGGTTAGTGTAGAGGCTAAGGTTTTGGTTAGTTCTGATACCATGTTTTATATTGGGTAATTGACATGTTTCCAGAGAGAGGCAGTCAGATTGTATATTTATATTAAAGAAAATAGAATACAGTTACATAACCTTTCAATGTGTGACTAAACAAATAGAATACAACTACATGTTTTAGGAGGCCTTAAGTTGTTCAAAGTCATGCCATCCAAGGATCTTCAGTTGTTCGTAGCTTTTATTCATTTATTTCATTGCAATATCATATTCTATTGGACGGTCTAACCCAAAAGCAGAAAGTGTAACTAACATTTGTCGAATTTGACTTCTTCAAGGTCATGGTTGCTTCATTAACAGTCACTAATACAAACATGAACCATTTATAGCGTGCACAAGAAATATATTCCTCATTAATATAGTATGTTGGTGAATTTCTAATAAGCCTCCTATGTTTAGTAACATCTTTTTAAAACAATGTGTGAAATGATGTGCACTTTTGTAATACACTTTTACGTCTAGATTAAATAATTTAACATTTTTTCATATTAATGCAGATATTCTACTTGGTTGGATTTGCCTTGTTTTTCTTGAAAACATTTCTAAAGTTGTCGGTGATTCAGGTGAGTGAAGCAACTTTCTTCTCTTTTCTCTTTATTTTATTCATAGTGATGGTAACTCTATTACCTTGTATTTATCTTCTTCTTCACTTAAATATTTATTATTATTATTATTACATGACTTCAAAAAACAGAATTAACCTTATCATATGAGATATTTGTGATTACTGATGCATGTATATTGTACCAAATTTCTCAAAAAAAAAAACTCAAGTACTATTGAACATCAATTAAAATATACTTATTCTCTCAAATTATAGTCACTGCTATACTTATGTTAAATAAAATCAATAATTTAACACATTAAATTTTCTTTTCCTTGTATAAATTTACATTCTACTTCTTGGATTGCATAATTACTATACATTTGCATAAGAGTACCTTCTTCCAAATGACTTCAAACCAAGGTTTGAATTCAACATAAATATATATTATTATTACTTTATGTGTATTTGTGTTTATTAATAGTATATTTCATTATTTTTTAACAGAAGAACACATTCTAATACATGAGAGTAGAAACACCAAATATAATCAGCACCAGATGTAGATTGGAGTTATGGTGATCAGCACCGGATAACCATAGGAGTTGATTTGCTAACCAGGCAAATATCAGCATCAGATGTAGATTGGAGTTATGGTGATCCAACAGAGAGGTTGATTCCGAGAAACTCTAAAAATGTTGAGATGAGAGAGAGTAGTGGTGCTTATATTGTCCGCATACCATTTGGTCCAAGAGATAAATATATTCCTAAAGAGCTCCTATGGCCACACATTCAAGAATTTGTTGATGGCGCACTCAACCACATCATGCAAATGTCACAAGTTTTAGGAGAGCAAATTGCTGGAGGGCTAGCAGTATGGCCTGTTGCTATACATGGACATTATGCTGATTCTGGTGACTCTGCTGCTCTACTATCTGGGGCTCTAAATGTCCCTATGCTATTTACATGTCATTCTCTTAGAAGAGATAAGTTGGAACAACTTCTGAAGCAAGGGTGTCAGTCAAGGGAAGAAATCAACTCATCATACAAAATTATGCGGAGGATTGAGGCTGAAGAACTAGCTCTTGATACCTCTGAAATTATCATCACAAGCACTCGACAGGAGATTGAAGAGCAATGGCGCTTATATGATGGGTTTGATGTGATACTTGAGCGGAAATTGCGAGCTAGGATTAAGCGTAGTGTGAGTTGTTATGGCCACTTTATGCCTCGCATGGTTGTAAGTATCTTCCTTATTACTTTATTTATTCCAAGGTGTTTCATGGTTAATACGTGATGGTTAATTGTTTTATCAGAGTTTATTTTTCTTAATTTTTTTTTCCTTTTTTAGTTTTTGCTCCTTCCATTTAGCCTTTGTTACTTTTGAGAATTAACTATGTTATCTTCATTGCAGGTGATACCCCCAGGCATGGAGTTCAACCATATTGTTCTGCATGAAGATGTGGATGGTGATTTAGAAGAAAAAGAAGATAATAAAGCTACTCCTGATCCACCTATTTGGCCTGAGGTATTGAAAAACACACTTCCTTCCCGAAAGAATACTTCAATTGTGAAATTTCTTCTTTTAAACGAAAAAGAAAGAAAAAGTGAAACTGCAGTGTGTTGTTTTGATATAGAGAAGCTCAATTTTATTGTTTTATGTTTTTGCAGATAATGAGGTTTTTTACCAACCCTCGCAAACCTATGATTCTTGCTCTTGCTCGGCCAGATCCCAAGAAGAATATTTTGACACTTGTGAAGGCCTTCGGTGAATGCCATTCATTTGAATCTTCCGCATGATTCACGTGATCTTCGATTCCTTCATTTTGATCAGAATGTGTTATTGTTTCCTTGCTGTCTTGAATTTTTAAATAAACAACTTCTTCAGTTGTTTTTCGAGGTACAACAGTTTTTTTATTGAAATTAATGACAACATTATGCTGCAAATTCTCTTGACAATGATATTCCATGCCTCGACTCTCACTCGATAAAGTATCTGTGATTGGACTCCTCTCAGGATGATTCTCTACGAGAAGCTGAGTGCACTTCTTATTTTCTTCAAATGTGAAATTGCCAGGGGATACAACTGATGTTTGATATCCATTAGTCTCTAAATTTGCACCATTCTCATAGTTAGTATCTTAGTGCATTACACGTGTGCATATTGACCATGCTCCTTCCAGGATACACATGGAATTACAATTACATCTCATACATACAAGTCCTTAAAGTTGGCAATCGCACTTACACCAAGAATATAGACATCCAGTATATGGCATGAGAGGCATACCTTGGTTCAATTTGAAATAAATTATTTCCAATGGTTTTCTTTTGTCTAATACTAATAATGAGAAATACTAACTGGCAATTAATAAAATGCATGCCTACTGGGGATACAATATAAGTGGTACAAATCATTACTATAGTTCTAAGTTAGTAAACAAGGTTAAGAAAAAGGTGATCATTGAGAATACAGTGTTTCAGAAACTTAAACATTATTGACGATAATGAGTTCTGCCATTTAACAGGTATTCTCTCTCTTATCAGAAGCGATCTCCATGTGCAACCTTTGAGAAATCATCTTTTTTTTTAAGTATCTTGATGCATGAACTATGTACTGCTGAACTAAGCTTCTTGACGCACAACCAAAATCTAGCATTTCGGATCAACACTTATAATGCTTGTATAATGCATGTACAGTAAGCCATTTTCCCTCTCCACAGAAAGTTTATTATAGAAAAGCACAGAAACTTACATCGGACATGTCAAATAAATGCAGGCATTTCTACAGCACGGCCTGCCATCCTCACCAGACGAACTGCTCGAACGGACATGTCAAATAAATGCAGGCATTTCTACAGCACGGCCTGCCATCCTCACCAGACGAACTGCTCGAACTACTGAACAAGGTAAATTGCTACCTACAGCACGGCCTGCCATCCTCACCAGACGAACTGCTCGAACTACTGAACAAGGTAAATTGCTACATAGTTGGCACAGATGATTGCAATGTCCTGCTTTTTAGCCTTATAGTTGGAGCATAAAAACGATATAGTTTAATTAATAGCAAAATGCAAGCATTTTATGTTATCATATTATTAGCGTGGGTGTGGCCATATGCATGCACACAAATCTGTGTAGGTATGTATGCATGCATGCACTCTATTAAGATGTCATGTTAGTGTGTCCCGTGCTTCTTGGGCAAAATTCTTTAAGGCCTAAAGTTTGTTTACCTTTAGATGGCCGTAACGTTTCATCTGTTCAACATACTGTACAAGTCTCATATGTTTCTTTGCTACATTTTCCTTATGCTAAAATTCAATTAATGAGTTACTGCAATAACTATACATACCCATCAGAAAGGAAGTGATTGATTATTTCCCTTTTTTAAATTCAGAGGGTTTTATATTCTGATCCTGATCATGAGATAAGGTAAGACCTTAATATCTTATTGCTCATATTGCTGCAAAAAGGAGTTAACGTACTATTCTAAGATGTTTCAGGCTTTCAGTTAATTTGAATCATTTACTCCATGCAGTTATCAGAATTATCTCAGCAAGGAAACTTCAAGTCGCTTATTGGACACCATCAGGCCTGTAAATTTCTATCATCTGGTGTAGGGTACTCTTTTATTTTTTTCCCCTGCATATATCTATAAATGCATCACCATTTACGCTTGGATGTGGTGCAGATACTTGTCGTATCTGGTCATGATCATGATCAATGTACCGTGACCCACACAACACCTTTTGGCCCTGTAATAGAGGTAAGATCATACACTTTTTTCTGCTTTTGCTCCATAATTTGCTTCTAATATGAGTTATGCAGCACACTGTAGGGACTGTTAGCTGGCAGCAGGAAAACCTGTATCCATCATTCATGCTCCTTACTGCAACTACTTCTTCAAACACAACCAACTCTAAAGATTTGATTTCTACTCAACAGTGTTTTCTGCCAATGCAAACCGACATCTATATTTGGTACTTATAAGAATTATTTGCTGTTAGATCCTCTGTATTATTAGCCAATTGCGGATAGGCCCCTTGTTCTATTGTTGCCGATAGATGCCCTGAGTGAAATTTTGTGACTGTTGTACCGTCAGAGAGAGAATTTTTTTTCCTGACAAATAGACTTCCTGAGGGTAAAACTGCCAAAAGGTTATTTAACAGGGTGGGGGGTGGGGTGGTCTTTCTGCGATAATAGAACTTCATGAGGTCTATCTCCAGTTGGGCAATACTACGGGTGTATATTCGCAATTAACCCATTTATAATAGAAAAATATTTTGATATTTTTGCCTGGCAATGACATGCATTGCACGTGCAAAAGCATGTCATGCATGCATGCACCCTATTACGCTTTAAGGTGTTCTTTTGCTTGACTGCGTTCTCAATACGTAAATTGTGATATAGGCAGCAATCAACGTAGGAGGGATAGTCCTTAATGCTTTGGCTATTGAGCATTTCATCGTGAGACATTCTTTTGATACCACAAGTGTAAGTAAACCACGTGAGCACCGAGTGTTTTGGTTAAACACGATGTTCTTTCTCCCCTATCGTCATTCTCTGATTGTCGATTACTGACTGTGCTACAAGGGAACAATTGAAGAGAAAGAAAGACTTTTGCGACGTGTCTACGGCCTTGAATACCCTGAACCAAATGTGACATTTGCACTTTGCCGAGGCACCTGGTCTTCACCCGCGGTAGAAATGAAAGTTTCATAATATATTCAAATGTTGAGTAATGTTTACACAAGTTTTTTTCTTAAAATTAATTATAATACTATGCTGCAAATTCTCTTGACAAGGATATTCCAGGCCTCGACTCTCACTCGATGCAGTATCTATGATTGGACTCCTCTCAAGATGATTCTCTACGAGAAGCTGAGTGCACTTCTTATTTTCTTCAAATGTGAAATTGCCAGTGTTGATCCTATAGTTTTGATGATGATTTGACAAACAATTTGTTACTAATAAGTTTTCTAGTGTTTTGTGTTTATGTTCTCTTTTCAGGTATTTCAACACGCGTTAATAAAGTGTTAAAGATTCAAGTTCATCTGCGTGGATCTACCTAGGTATATGTTTAGTTTACTTACATATATAGTATGATTATATCTAAGCTCAATATATATACACTTAACACGATTTTTGACGTCTTCTATCATATAGATGATTTTTTCTTTAAACGTTGTTAAAATATCTTTATCTCTTGTTTACAGCTATCTCATACTTTATTATATACATATAATATATGCACAATATATATATATGAATATTTACAAGTCCTATATAACTTTCACTTTCATAAAAATACAGGTTTTCTAAGCATTTTTCAAAAACAGGTAGTTTTCACAAACGAAATTCGTTTTTCCAAAAATTCCTTTTCAAACATGTTCATTTCATCATTTATAAACTTTCCCCAAAGTTTCACTATTTTTGGATATGAATTGATACTTTTAACGAATTTTTCAAAACTGCCCAAAACCTGTCTTTTTACCCATATCAGATTTCGGTCGACCGATACGGTCGACCGACGGTAGTCTGTTTTCTGAAAATTTCTTTGAGTATTTTCCGGTCGACCGGAATTTTCGTCGGTCGACCGAAATATCCATTCGGTCGACCGAATTTCACGTCGGTCGACCGCCAGCTTCAAAACATGTTTTCTCAGGGTTTTTGAACTAATCGGTTGACCGTACCGGTCGACCGACGAGCTGACAAAATGAGCCTAACGGCTAGTTTTTTAAATGGATTTTTTGGTCTTTTTCTTATTTCTAGCTGTTGTATTAGGGTGCTATATATACCCCATTGCTGCTCTTCTTCTCTATCCATCAAGAAATCCAAGTTTACTGTTTAGCAAGATATTAATCACGTTTAAGAGCTGTTTAAGAAGTGTTTCGTTAATCTGTTTTCAAGAGAAAGTTTTTTACAACAAGAAGAGGCTCTCATATTCCATTGAGATCATATTCTTTAGCTCCTCTTGTTCATTGAGAAGTTTTTCTAAACTCTTTCCATATAGCTTACTATTTCACTTTCATTTGATTAGCTATATTCATTAAGTTATTTATTGAGTTTTATTCACTATTATCACACACACTTATTGAGCTTGATATCTCCATATTATATATTGTGGGTTGTGGGGTGTGATTTAGTGAGTGTGAGCTTCATTGTGTTCTCACTTGTTAATTGAGAACAAATCATTGTATTTAACTTTTATTTGTGAGAATCACTTATAATACACTTGTACACCGAGAGAAGTGTGAGGAGAGAGAGACGGGGTCAAATCCAATAGGAGTGGCGTCGATTGACGAACCTAGGGAGAGGTTGTAATCGAGCACTTAAGGAGGAGGACACGGGCTAGGTTCCTACACTTAGTGTGTAAAGTGTGATTGTTGAGTGATTGTGTAGTGTGAGAGTTTTCGGTGAACTTGTAAACCGAGTGTGTAGAAGTTCCGGCTTCCAAACCGGATTGTGATAGTGGATATCTCCTCGAGGTGAGGAGCGGGGACGTAGGTCGTGGGGACCGAACCTCGTAAACATATCGTGTGTTTTGTGTTTTGCTTGTCTCATATTTTATTTGTGCATATTCTTATTGTTCTTATTGTTCATATCTATCTCTTGCAAGAACATTTTGATCAACATAATTTTAATTGCTATTAATTGGTATTAGATTAGCATAAGACCCTAATCACTCCCCCTCTAGGGTCTAACAGCCAGGGGATGCAACTGATGTTTGATATCCATTAGTCTCTAAATTTGCACTAACAGATGATTTAGAATATATACTTTTTGATATATAGAAGTGAAAGTTTCATAATATATTCAAGAGAAAGCTTTGAGTCGTAGCATGCACATGTATCATATATTCTGCGAATAATGTATTTAATAAATAGTTTTAAAGTTGGTGAGTG